GAGAGAGAAAGAGAAAGAGAAAGAGAAAGAGAGGAGATCGAATGGACGTTCCAATCAGAGGACAACCGAGAAATCACCGACGCACGCGAAGATCATTGTAAGCCATGCACCATAGTTCTGACCTGTTCTGGAGGAATGTATGCGAGAAAAAATTCTATTAATCTCATTTAAAAGGTGTAAACTAATACTTGTTAAAAATGTTCAGTTATTTTATTAAAATACGGCTGATAATTTATAGTTAGTTGCTAGCAATTAAAAATAATATATTCAATTAACAGAACTTCCAGAGATCACAGATCGATCGAATTCTGTATAGATTGCTCCCTGACGTATACTATATAAGAATATAGCATGTTGTATGTAGAAGCCTATAAATAATCGGAAATAGAATCAAATAATAAGCATTTCATTATATGTCAAATATAAGAGTGTAGCAGGGCAAATCAAGGATATAAATATAGATCAATGTTGAGTTTCTATAGCGTGCCCAAGCAGCAAGTGGTAATAGTCGAAGAGTATATTGATTAAAAGATTAATATAATATTAATATCAATAGAAGTAGAGAACATTCGTGTTATCTCACAAATTAGGACATTTATGTTATCCAGGTATTTCACGAATCTGCATAAGAAGCAGCGAGAAAGTAATGCGAAAGTAACTAGTGGCACTACACATGGCACATACTTTCTCGCATTAATTTTAAATTTGACATTTATGAAAATTCAGAGACTTCAACGAAAATGAGGCATATAAATATTTCATGAAAAATTACACGCAAAATATTCATATTTTTGAAAAATTGAATTTGTCATTATTTCAAGATCTGTCGTTAAAGAACAGATTTTATAAAGGAAAACATATGTATATTCAATATTGTAGGTGTAGCAAGACGCTCAAAAAATGGCACTTTTGCAATTTTCGGAAAGTCAGGGATTCCAACGATCATGAGATCTGCACAAATGCAAAAATCAAACAAATTGGATCCATTTTTCAGATCATTTTTAAATGTTTTTGAGTCTTCATAAACATTGCCTTCAAAATTCAAACTATCCAATTGAAACTCCCAAAGTGTGGAGTTCGTTCAGATAAATTAGAGAACATCAATTTTGAAGACAATCGGCCGAACGGTTTAGGCGGTAGTGTTGATCACACAGACGACGGATAATTAGACGTTTTGCAATTAATCAATTTTTCGGGATCAAGAACTCACACAACATGGATTCCGACTGCATCAGATCTCAGAGGTAGTAATTTGCTATAAATAAGAACAGATTTTTGTCCCCCAGCAATAGTTTTTCTGCCTAAAATTAGCTGTTTTCCGGTGCACGATTACATAACTTTCTCTTCTTACAAAGTAAGCGAGAGAAAGTAAAAATATACAACAGATTACGCTAAACATTGAAGTAAATGAGAACTTCTCTATCAGATGAAAACACGTGATTCAAGGAAAACGTATTGAAGTAATTAACAAATATCCGGAAGTTGTGGTAAGCTTTAAGCAGAATATTTAAATATTCAGTATATTTTTTTAAAATTTTAGTTTTGGCGATGCAATAGCAAAATAAAATAAACATTTCTTGGGCGTAATGCTCATAGCAGAACATTGAATCAAGAATATATAAACACGGTTTCTAAGTCGATAAAATGTATGTCACACTCATATCGTGTAAAACCTCACTCTTTTGACTGCTAGAACGCCCGACGTCATATTATAATTGGCTCCATTCCCAGATTTGTCTACATGTATATTTACTCTCTATAACCAGACTGGTGGTCGGCTTACGCTTGGAGAGCTCCGGTGTCGACGAGGCTGCGTGGTCCTTGGCCGCAAGCCTTGTGGGGTTACAGAACTGAAGGTGCCGATGATGACGTCATGAGGAAGAAGATGCAACCATGAAGCTATCGGCTCTTTGTACCTGCATAGCTCGCGCGACAAGTGCCACGCCCCTGACGCAGCCCAGTGATTAAATGGTTTCCTTATTCTCCCTTCAGCTGTTGTTTCGGAATGGTGCGCGTCAATATCCTCCACAGAGAATATTTTACTGAGAAACTATAATCTTAAATTAGAAGCTTTCTGATACATTTGGTCATTACATCAGACCGCAACTTTAGTCGTTATAAATCTCTAAAATACCTAGACATAGAAGAACTTCAAACCACTGGCGGCTCGTGAAGAATAGGCAAAACAGATTACTGAACAGCGGCGGATCCAGAGAAGGGGGCATGGGGGTATGTTCCACCTCAATCGTATTTTTAATTTTATTCAAGTTATTCAAAAACAACTGTCTCACTAATATCACTACCTTCCAAATCATTATTTCTATGAAGCACGAACAGACAATTTCAAGATATTCATACTCTAAAAAAAATGTTGCAAGTTTGTGTTGCTCTGTCAGTAACTCAAAAATCGGATTCAATTTTTTCTGGGCGTTTAATATTTAGCGAATTACATATGTGATCTTTTGACATATTTTTCATCTCAAAATATCTAGCTCTATTCCCCCATTTGTATGTACACTCTTGGAAACAAAGTTTCGCGTCGAAAATGCCTTGGCCCGAGAAGTTGATGTAGCTGGACACCCCTGCTTGCCGACAGCGCTATCTAACGTTTATTTCCGAAACTACTTTCTGTACATCGAACTAAAAAGATAAAAAAATATTTTTTTGGAGAGCATATAAAACACTTCAACTTTATTGAAGCTAAATAGTAGTAGTACAGGCGAAAAAGACTTCTGTGATTCCTGCCAGTGAAACTGAATTCACACTCATCTTTGAAAATGTAATGTTGCTTTCACGTTTAGTTCACATAAAATGTGTTGTTATGAAAGATGTGCAAAATGGGCGAAAGAATGGCTCAGTGTCAAAGTGTTGTTCTAGAACTCATGAAGCAGCGGTTTCGATTCCCATTCTACAATGCCATAAACTTCACTAAATTGCAACATCCTACATTTGTCTTGTCAATGTTATGCATAATTTAGGCAAAATTCACGATCGCGAATAAAGAATGCTAAAAAAGTGGTAATATGAGTTGTGAAGTGCGGCATTGAGACCAAAATAATATTATCTTCTATAACCCCATAGATAATCTTAAATCGCAAATAAAAATAATATTAAAATAATGCACTATTATTTTCACTTTTACTCGAAAAAAACTTGTATGCCGTAGAAAATAAAAACTGAGCATGAAATTGTACTCGTTAAAACTCGGAAAGACAAATCGTTTAACAAATAATATAACAAAATATTAGTGATATTTCGACAAGAAATATGGACTTGCTTTTATATCTGTAAAAATAATGTATAAAATCTGTTTTGTATCTGTAATTCATTAAATACCGTTTTTACATCTCTTGTTTGTCTTGATATGACATATTTATTTTATACTACTGTATAGAAATTAATAAAATAGTAATTTTGTGCGTAGATTCCCAAATGCTACTCATACATAAGGTGAATATAAATTAAGAAACTGTTGATGTTTTTCAATTACAATAATTCTGAATGTGACAAGGCTTTCAATATCTACACTGATGTAAATAAGGTGGTTTTGATGATGAATGTTATTTATTGGTTCCGATGATGAATATTTCTGAGATTCCTTGCCTTCATGTGGGAGGCCTCTGTTATGTGGGTGTTGAGATTTCATAGGTGTAAAGAAAAATAAAATAAATTTTATTTCAAAATACAAATTGTTGTAAACAAATTTTGAAGGTGAAAATGTCTCTAGACTTTGATTATGCTATTGGAAGCCATTACAATATCATACAAATATCTAATTCAGATGTATGTAGAAATCCAATGCACGTTTTTTACACACAAAAAATATAACACAGATTGTATATAAAAATTAATGGCACTAAATAGCGAATTGGTTTATTTCAAATAATGTCTACCAATGTTTTACGCCAAATATGACTGCTTCTACTTAAACATCAGACTGCCAATTAGCCATAATAGTGATGTCTGTTTGCTTGCTACAATATTCTAGTTCATAAGCCAGTGGAATACTCTCATTCATTTGGTTGAGAGAGATTATCGATTTTCTCTTGTAAGCCTCACGGTACTGCCGAGGTGTGTCTGTCCTTGGCAGCACTTCCGTGTTTTCGACTCCAGGTCAAAAGGTGGCGAGTCAGTGTGGGGTTGGGGGACAGAACTGCGCAATGCTGCCTTAAACGTTATCGAGAGCCGGGAGAATCCGGGAGGAAACTTGGTACGGGGCTTTGGCATATTTCTGATGCTGCCTAAGATAAAGTTTTGATAAAAGCAGCGGTGGAAAACTTCTTCACAACTGCGAAAACTACCAGATTCTGGATTTTCCAGAACCATACGCAACAGACTTTCGTAGGCTGGTTTGCAATTCAGGAGTGCAGCTTGAAAATCGAAGCTGACAGAACACATTTGCGGAGGAACTGTGTTCGAATTTACTTTGAGACTGGGCTGTTGTCATTTTCTCTGATGAGAGTATATTCTTCTCTGCAAATAATGGACCCGTTCGCGTTTTCAGGCCCCAAGGAAGCGGCTATGATTTTCGGTTCGTAAAGCAAGTACCCAGGTCAGGTCGTTTCTCAGTATCAGATTGCGGCTGGATGTCATTTCGTGGTATTGGAATGATCCATAGAATTGAAGGCCTCTTAACTACCGCTCAGAACATCCACATACTGACATATATCATGCTCCCATTACTAAGACAATTGCATTCTGAGGGTATAATTAAATTCCAACAGAACCAGTCTCCTATTTATAAGTCGGCTTCGGTTCAATCGTGGTTTTCAGAGAAGCATGATATTCAGGTTGTTGACTGGCCACCATACGCACCAGACCTAAATTCTATTGAAAATCTTTGGGCAAAGACAAGACGCACCATGCCCGAAAACTGGCCAGATCCGGGACCTAACAATGACGACGCGTTCTTGCATCTAATCAAAGGAACCTGGGAGGAGGTCGTCACAGTCAAAACTATGCGGCGAGACTTGTGGATTCTCTCCCACGAAGGATTAGAATGGTAGTAGAAACTGAGAGTTTTTGGATTACTCGTTAATGTATTCCTTGTATTTTCTAGAGTAAGATATTTATGAATAAACAATTAATGTAAAAAATCTATAATAAAATTAAAACAATATATAATTTGAAGAATTAAAAGCAAATATTCATATAAAGAGCCCTTTTCAGAGTTATTTTGTACTAAAATAAAAATAATAATTTATTTACCTTATTGAGAGAGTACTGTAATGCAGTTAATTTGACAAAAAATCACTGATAAGCAAGAAAAAATGCGGGGAAAGATTAGACTCGATCCTGCTGCCAAGAGTTCTGGAAGAAATTATTCTACCGCTCAGCCAAATGAATACTTCGGTATTTCGATTAATTGCATAAATATTGTGTCTAATTTCGAACAACGTTTGAAATGTCTCCATCATATTTAGACAATTACAAATAATGTTGACACATGGCATGGCTTCTACCTATTAAAGTACGAATTACTGAAATACATATACATTGCTTCCATACAAGGAGTCCCACCAACCATGGGCCACCCTCCTAACTTCTAAACGGCTCCCGATATCGACATAGTTTTCGCTCAACAATGCGGAATCATGGGGCAGGTGATATGGTTTAGAGATATTGTTTGAAATATTTTTTAGTTTTCGACAAATTTAATCATCTTTTATTTTTTAAATGGAACCATATATTTTTTTCTCACTAGCAATAAATAGATGATAAAAAGAGGGATGCAATGATGTAACAATTGTTAATACTTTGATAATAGTTTTTGCATTAAAATTATACCTGAGATTTTACATTAAACGTGCATTTTTTTCTGTAGCTGCCGTCGCAACTGTCGTTTTGGGGAATGTGACCTTCGCGGCTTCTCCCCGTAAAAGTGCCGGCACCGCGAAGGCAACCTTTCCCAAAGGAGACAGTTGAAGGGGTTGCTACAGGAAATCTTGTAGTTTTAATTTAAAATCACATGACTGAAAGTACTCAAAGCATTCAGAAGAATACAGGGGCTATCGCATGTTGCTTGACGATGTTATCTATGATACCTGCCACCGAATTGTGTGCGGAAAACATATTCAGATTGTTTCCTTTCGAAGCACTGATAAGAATGATGAACGGATGCAGGCAATGCCATATCGTTATCTCCGAATTATCAAATGTCAATGCTACTGAAGTAAATGCAAAATTGTTCTAATATTGTGAGAATCGGCGAAGTGAGTTGCCTAGTTTCAAAACGCGACTTTTCCACCTTTGGTGAAAATGAGATACTGGTTTCAATAGAGGTCCTTTGCATTAATGCGTCGTTCTATAAAATTATTCGTAACAAATGGCGGTTTTTTGTTCACCCCAGAGGGCTTCGTAATAATTTGTTAATATCAGAACGCGATCTTTCAATAACCTTCATTTCGTTGCAAAGTACGATATTTCCCATTCAGCAATCAGAGATCCTTGTGTCACGATATTTTGGCGCCGTATTATATGAAAATGAAAATTCATCATTCTATAGAAATCTAACTGGTCTAAGCATTGAACAAGCTGATACTTAAAATGATTAGTATTGTAAAAGTCAGCTGTTAGAGGTTGCTGATCTTCATATTTGATGAAAAATTCTACATGAAATATTGAAATCGTGAGGAAATAAGTGTAAAAATACCTCTTTTGTAAAAAAAAATAATGAAAACCTGTTTGTGTTTACAAACAAATTTGTTTTCACCAAAAATACAAAAAAAATTATATAAATTAAATTTCAAAATGAGACTTTTCCAAATTTTTAGCTCAACTTTCTTCGTAATGACTAGATATTCCTTAATTATCCTATACTTTTGTTTTTATTTCCACTATCCAAGGGCATTAATTCCAAATATTTTTGGCTGCAGAATGTTTTAAACCAATAACGTGGCATTTTCTTATTTTCTTAAAACAGACTAGAATGGAAAAGTTTCATGTTTGAAACAAGACCCCTAAATTAAGTGCTATCAGCCAACATTTAATTTTTACATATGTTCATTGTTCCAGGTGAGTTGG